CCTTAGGCCAGGTCAAAACCGGCTATGGCTGCTCTAATATACGCTATCTAGTCTACACGCTCAGGGTGCACATAGATATGATTTGCAATGCCGGCTCATCAAACAACCATTCAGAAAGCCTTATATTTCCAAAAATAGCTCTTTTAATGATTTTATGTATAAGTAAATGAGAAAAAAATGCATTTGATGTGATACTGCGCATTAACAGGAGTAGAATTATGAGTGTTCATTCATTTACTGCACGCAGAAATATAATACCAAAGCTTTGTTCAATTATTCCAGCAGTTACCTCGTTGGCTAGGAAGCGAGTAGAACCAGAATCGCTTGTCATTCCGTATATTACCGTATGCGTAAAAGTCCCACCCCCTTGCTGGACTATGGCTGCATTGACCATCCTTTCTCTACCTGCATATTTTATCTCGTTCATACCCGGAATCCATTTGCTCCAGTTTGGAGCACTCACCACTTATTACCCATTACTGACCATGGATGCACAAAAGGCGTTCATTTGTGCATAATTGTGGAATTTCGAACCTTTCACAAGTGGTGTAGAAGCAATATGGCCTTGGCCCCAGCCGCGGTAGTATTGTACTGGCATCGCAGCACCATTGTCGTAGATATACTAAGGAGGCCGAGCAGCATAATCATACCTGATGCAAATCACTGGCAACGATGTCTCGCAATCGATCAATCCTTGTTGCGAAGTACACCCTGCATAACCGCTTTGGTCAATATTGAATTCAGCTAAGTGCGTCACTTTGACAATGGTTGAAGATAATTTAGCTTTGACAGAGAGAGAGAGAAGAGACGAAAATAGTATTGTGAACGAATATTGTCGTACCTTTCACAAGCATCATGCATAAAAGAAGTCCAACAAGATAGTAAACCAATTTCATCCTAGCTACAGAGTGGCACGTCTGAATCTCACATATGATATTTATATCGTTACTGTATTTCCCTTTCAGGGATCTCAGCAACCTGTGTCTCAAAATCAGGACTTTAGACAGGACACAAATTGAAAAAGAAAATCATGAATTTTGATAAAAATCACAACATTTTCAGACTCATTTGAATAGTTAAGTAAGCGATTAAATCGTCAGAAAAGTGAATAAATTATTGATAATCTATTATAATAACCAAGTGTATTGCTTCTATGAGCTTCATAAATCAAGAGAAAATGTAAAGAAATAATTATTCCTTGGTTGCATGCTTCTAATTCCATTATTTTTGTTTTCAGGTCTAGCCCATGTAAAAACAGTAGGGGTAAAATCAGATTAAAATCAATTATAATCGGAGAAAGCAGTTATTCCGCTGTACTAATAGATGCGACAGTTGTTTCCCAATACGACCGCTTACAACAAAATTTCAGTTGATTTTTATCTGTTTTTAATCAATTAAAAATAAACTAACAGCTGATTCGAAGTAGCTGTGATGGTCTGAGATCGACATCAGGCACATAATAACATCTCATCAATTACTTCCAGTAACGCTGATTTACAATTAGCAAGATTAGACTTATTTTTATTTTTCTGAAAGTACTTTCTCAAGAATTCATCAGTATTCTCTAAATTACATTATTCAGAATTTTTACTTTCACAACAAAATATACTTCTACTTCCTTATTTTCTGCTAAACGAACTGGTGATACTCTTCTCCGAGAAAAAGGAAAAGATTAATGAAAAAAACTCCTATCAAAACGAAAAACAAGTCTGAACTTATTCCATTTGAATCAATGAAGCAAAACAAACAAAATGATTTGGTTCGAAAACAAAATTTATCCTGAATATTTGTTTTGAAGCGAATGGAAGAAATAACGAAAAACCAACTCCGCTTTATATCAAAAGGAAACTCATATTACAACCCAGGAATGTGAAGATTTTGTTCAATCAATTCTTTTTATGGAAAGTACTGTAAAAAGTGTTAGAGTTTTTTTTCTTTGAAAGAGTTTTGATATTTCTGGTTATTGTGTATTACATCAGATTTTCGATGTGAATTTGGAGATAATTGAATCGTTGCTTTAAATTCAAACCAGGTCATATATATGTTGAAATCGCGCTCAGTGTCTAAAGTGTTGCCTTGCTCTTGCATGTATCAAATCTAAATAGGTTGTTCCACCATTTGTTGAATAACAAAGGTCATAGTCACTGATGTAGGATTGTCTGTGCATGCCGTTTATTACCAAGTACTGAAGTAATAATCTATCCTTCTAAATTTCCCAGATATCATATTTTTAAGATTGAAACAGTAATTTATTTTACACTGTTGAGATGAACAATCTTTAAATTACTATGATAGTTTTAACTTTAACTTTTATAACGGAATATAATCATAAAAATCGTTGCAAATGATTTTTTCAAACGTTTTCTTATTAATTACGAAAAATCAATAAAGAAGCGACTTTTTCTCGTGGAAGTTCTCAAGACATGTTTTTCTAGTCCAGAATCAGTTTATTTCGATTTTCGTAAACTATTCTGTTGAAAAGATTGAATGACTCCTAATTGGGCTTGTAGCGTAGTTATTTTAACCTGGATAAAACTGAATTCGTTAGGATGCATTCAAAAATAAAATTGATTCTAATATATTATTAGTAGTAGGAGTTAATTTCAAAGCAATATAATCTCAATGATTATAATCGATTCGACAACCCAGTCAATTTTTGTGGATTTTAATGGAGAAAAAAATAATAAAATACTGACGAAAATCGATTATTACTCGAAATCAATTCTAATTAATTAATAAAAAAGTATAAGCAAGTGATTATAGTCGCTTTAATCGATTTTATGCGATTAAAGTAAAAAAATCGATTAAAATCTTGAATTTAATCTTGAAAAAAAAATCATAATTGCTGGATTTCCATCAATTATTTGTGGTGCCAATCGATTATAATAAAAAAATACGTTGATTTTGCGCGTAAATGTTTTTACATGGAAGGGATGCATCGGTACCAGTGGCAACTGTGTGGCTGGGATATCTAGTCCGACTGTAGTAAGGTATCCCAACTCTTTCACATGATTTGCCCTAGCTGGTGTTCTGTCTCCGTGTATATCAGTGTGGGAGTTATAACTAGTTATGACTATCAACTGTCACTGTAACCCACCTGTTGATAATTGAATATATTTAAGCTACATTAATATTTCTGAAAAATAATTTCGTGGATGCATTATTGATGCAAACTGAAATGTTGCACATCAATAGCTTGTGTGCTACCAAAAAATTTTAGCTTCTCTAGATTTTATTCACTGATAACACAAACATTCATCTGCATACTACTTATATACACGTACGCACTTTCGCTTATGTGACTATCCAGAGGATTTTAAGCAGTAAATATCTCTCAGAATATCTTCATTTCCGTGTGTTCCACATAAAGACTCCTAGAATAAGATAAAAGAAAGCTAATAAACCATTCTCCGTATAATGGAAGAATAAGCGTAGATATAATAAATATCTTTTTTCTTGCCTTACGTTTTCATCACAAAATTTACAAGGTCAATTTTGCAAAATATCTGTTAGTTATAACCACGGTTGATAGTTATAACTAGAGTTATAACCATTTTAACTTTTTTGCCATTTTGATCAACTATCAACTTTTTCAAAAATAGTTTTAACTCCCACACTGGTGTATATGCATGTATACCTGCATATATATGATGCTAGTTTATTATCGAGTTTTGTTTCTTTACTTCGTGTCACTTCTATTAAAGCGCTTTTGAATGCGGAGAAACACGGGCTTTGGTTCAAAATGGTTTCTTCGATTCGATAACATCGGTAAGGCACATACCAGGTCGCTTTCAAGAGATCAAACGGGAAGATCGTTCTGGTGTACAGTATCTAAAACACATGATCTTAGTTATATTGATGGAGGAAAGATGGACGTAAAACACAAAAAAGGAAATTATTCACGATTCAAGTAAACGTAATTTGAACATTATTTTCTTTTTCATACAGCTTATGAAAGATGTGTATCTTCTGGAAACATTAAGCATAACAAAAAAGAATTCAAAGTCACGTATATGTAGGCCCTATACCCTAATTCACTGGCACCGATACCCTCATTAAAGGAATGGATTGATAGATCGATAAGCAAATGAATAAATAAGTAAACATTGCTTCTTTTGTATATACTGTCCTTAATTCATTTTATTTTTTTTGCGTTTCAAAATTTTTTTATTAATGCACTTTCTATACCAAACCACTGTAAATGAACTACCAGTTTTGTACAAATAGAAAAATTAGAAAATAAACGCTCTGTTGTAAATGTTTTTAATTTCAAAAAATTATAAGCTTAATTTTCCTGCAGAGAGTTAAGTAAAAAGTGTGTGACGTATGCTGAGGGTGAGGATATTGTCTGAACGTACCCACAACCACACCCCAAAAGCCATCCATTCCACTTGAAGTAATAACTGTTGGTAAACAATAATAGTGTACTATTGCTATAATATTTGGTGCAAGTTTTTCACCCGGTTTAGTTTCAAAACATTCCCCAACTTTTGTTTATCATTGGTTAAAAAAGGAATGCTAAAAGGTTAACAAAGGATGACATACTATTGGCAGATTTTAAGATATAAAGTCAGTGTAAAACTAACAAAAACTTCATACTGATAAGATATTTCCAGTAGTGTCAAATTTGAAACTTCAATTCAACTGAGTTTTCAACGATATCAAAGTGTTATAAAATTATTCGCGAAAATTCAATTAATTATCAGCTTAGAAGATACTACTTGTATTGAAGATGTACGCGAGACTCGTTTTGTCCGCCCTTCGTCACATCCACATTTGGGGAAGATGCGTAGTGTTCGTTTTACGCAGCATTTCTCCAATTACGTAGAAGAAATACTCGATTTAATATTCTATTGATTAACATATTTTTCTAGACAATAGCAAATGAAATAAAAATTATAGCTGGTTTTCGTTTTATTACAAAAGAACAAAAAAAGTCCATGTACATAAACAACAACAACAACAAAACGAATATAATTCATTTAACATTACGATTTTACCTATGACTGTGCAGCAATAGTAATATTACTTTGTTTTTTACAAATAAATATTTTCAAAAACATCCAGCCAACAAATAAATATAACGGTACCATACAATGGTGAAATACATTAGTCGATAGCAATTGTTTGTTAATAAATGCTTTATAGAGTAAATTATTGAACATGATTAAACAAACAATTAGTGGTACATGTGTAAAGATTTTATGTACAATTAATCGATATGCATAGGCTGGTGCTAGACTACTTTTTTGTTTTTGTTCGAACCAAAGACGAAGTAGAACCATGAGAATAAAATATAAATGTATTGCATTTGTTAAAAATAATGGAAGAAATAAATGAAAATATGTTATTGAATAAAAATGAAAATCATATCGTAATACCAATAGAATTGAAAAGCTGAACCAACCAAATAGAATAAATAATAATTCAATAGGACGAATGCTTAGCCATGAATGAAATTCAGTGAACGAAAGCATTTTTTTCAATTTAGTCTCGCAGTAGAAAAAAAAAGAAAGATATTGTTTATTTATCGATGAGTCATCGTGTGCATTGGTAAAATATGGATGTCAGGTTGTCAAAAAAAAAGAAAAGTTATTTTTCATTATATGCAAACAAATGGATTCAGCCGGAGTGATTCGTCGAAATATTACTAAACCACGAGATGTTATTCCTAGAAATCCAGCGATGAATCCTGATGTAAAGATTTATTTTTTTTGTTTTTCTATGGGCTGATTTTTCTCCTACTATTTAGACATTGCTAGATGTGCCAGAGTTTAATTTTACATACAATGATTCTGATACAATACACGCTGAAATAGCTGGTAGAAATTTATGATTTTATTTGAAAATTATTTAACTGTTTTTTTGTTACTTAGAATTATATACATATTCGGAAGAACCAGAATTTGTTTGGAATGCTGAAGCATTTCATGTGTTATTCCAAGCGAAATGTAAAAGATTAATAAACAGATTGATTTTTGTTACTGGTGAATTTTTCTTTTCTCTTTTGGAATAGATGGTGAAAATAAACAATGGAAAGATTATTCACGAGATGATAAAATAGATTTTATGGTTTATTTATTGGAGCAATGCGAACTTGTTGATCGAACTCGACGATGTCAAGCTATGAGAGCTATTCTCTATCTCGTACAAGGTAACTTTATGATCCATTGAAAACATCAATAATGTAAATATTCATTTTCAGGAGTATTTTATCAATGCTCCGATATGGATGAATATATGTCAAATGCAAAAGAAAACGTTTTATTATTATATACATGTGACGGTGTTCATATATTTATGGAGTTATTTAATATGGAATTGAATCAGTATGTTAACTATTGTTCTATTTGTAGAAATTATGTTCTATTTTAATTTCTAGTTTATGCAATGAAAATGATATGAAAACAACAAATAAAAATTTGAGTGATAATCAAGAAATGAGGTAAACATTATTTCTTTCGTTCATTGCCTTTTTATTCTTTCTTTTTTTAAATAGAGTAATTATTAGTATACTCTATACCATTGTTGAATTCGCACGGCAAATCAATGAGAATACCGATGAGCAATGGAAAAATTTTCAACAATTATTGAAAAATGAATTATGTATATTTGAGACGTGACCTGTTTTTTTTCTCTATTTACGTTTTCTTTTAAATAGCTCATCCGAATGATAATAATGAATTATTTGCAAGTACATTATATCATGCAATATGCGTCTTTTGCAATGCACCTTCTCCACCGCTACCTATTCGAAAACTTCTTTTACTTCTTTGGAAAGTGCTATTGGTATGTATACGAGAATTTTAAAACATTTTCGTTACTAATTTCTTTTCTCGATATAGTTTACTCTCGGTGGTCTTGATGACGCATTCGAACAAAAAAATATTGCTCGAAATGAACAAAATCTCGAGCCTATTGCTGAAAATCCAGCTAAAGTCATTGCGAGAATGCCACCAATATCGCCTCCCTTAGCCGGTGCTGAATGTCTAGAAATTCAAGGTCAAACTGAAGGTGGAAGTAGTGCTCGACGAGCTAAACGCCAAGTAAGTTAGATATGAATCGTATTTTGCCTATGTTTATCTTCTCGTAGAGTTTTACAAAACAATCGGCATTAGATTCAGATGCAAATAATGATGATAGTTCAGCAAGTGGAAATAATACATCGAATGATGATGATACGACAACAGCTATTCCATCAACGCCAACTTCATCACTTACTTCATCTGAATCGATGACATCGTTAGCGAGCGATGCATCAACCGTTGATCCAGCATCAACTTTACTTATGAAAGAATTGCCTTGGGTACCAAAAGTTAGGTAAACGAAATTTTCCGAATAATAATTTATTGGAATTTATTTTCATAGGCAAAAGGATTTAGAAGCATTTCTGGAACATACTCGAAAGAAATTTGTTGGTTTCACAATAAAAGATGATTTAACAACATTAATTGGTTTACCGAAACCGATTCATGAAAGCATCAAAATTCTTAAACAAGTAGACAATTGAATTATGAAACTATCGTTTTCTATTCATTAAGAATTTTTGATTTTTCTAGCATCTATATATACCATTATCCGAAGTTCAGATACAAATTGAAGATGAAGTTGTCAAATATCCATTGTCCAAGGTAAACATTTCCGTAGGATAATACTTTACAACATTATGATTATTTTCTTTGCTAGAAAGAAACGAATATCTCTGATAGTGCTGCCGAACGATTATATCGTGCAACACTTGCACAAATTCCACAATTTCTTGTGAGTATCATGACAAAAATTCATCAAAATCAGAAATCGATTTTCTTATTTAGATTGCTTTACTTAAATTACTTTTAACGTCAACACCAACTGCTAAACCAAAAACAGAGTCGATTAATATACTTTGTGATGTTATTCCAGAAGAAATTCCATGTTCAATGGTACAAACAATGAAACTTGGATTTGATATTAATCGACATAAAGTAAAATAGGACTTTTTTGTTTCGATAGATTTGTGATTCTAATTTCTAGGAAATGATTGTCAAATCTGTTTCAGCTATTCTATTACTTCTTTTGAAACATCTTAAAGTTAATCATATTTATCAAGTAATAAATTCGCAATGAAAATATCCAATAAATTAAGAAAACTAAATCTTTTTTTTCTCTAGTTTGAATATATTTGTCAAAATCTTGTCTTTTCAAATTGCATCACAGTCATACTGAAATTTTTCAATCATAATATTCTCTCTCACATTCAAGCAAAAAATACGTAAGCCTTCTTTTTCTAACGTTTCAAAAAATCGTACGTTTCTTATTAGAATTCTACCTCTTGATTTTCCAACTTGTGTTATTGGTCCTCAACCCGAATTAACAGCTGATTTATTTGATATACCAGAAAATGAAAACTACTGTTGGCGTAATATGTTTTCATCAATAAATCTTCTTCGAATTTTAAATAAACTCACGAAAGGAAAACATGCAAGAACAATGGTAAATTTTTCTTTTCTATTTCAATAACGAAAAATTCTGTTTTCTTTTTTTTTGTGATAACGAAAATCAGGTTTTAGTTGCTGTAAAATCTGCTCCAATTCTGCGTAAAGCTTTACGTGTTAAACAAGCCATGATGCAATTATATGCATTAAAATTATTAAAACTACAAACACGCTACCTTGGTCGACAATGGAGAAAATCAAATATGATGACTATTTCGGCTATCTATCAACGTGTCCGACATCGTCTTAATGACGATTGGGCATACGGAAATGAACAAGAAACACAAACGTGGGATTTTCAAACAGAAGAACGTGCACTAAGAAATAAAATTGATATTTTCAATCAACGTCGTTATCAACGTTTATCATCATCGAATTCAAACAACAATAATAATAATACTAATAATCTCGCCAATGCCAGTACACAAAATGCTTCTGCGAATGAATTTGATTTCGATAGTTTTATTCCATTAAATAATGATTTATTGACTGCGCTTTCATCAAATAGTAGTTTAGGTGATCATGATCTACCTGAATCATTTAAACGACATTATGAACAATGGCTAAACGATGAAGTATTCAATGTCGAACAACAAACAGACTGGGATGCTATATTACATTCGAAATCAATTGTCATTTATTAAAAAAATACAACAGACAACTTTATTCTCTTTAAATATTTGCTTGTTTCTTAAAAAGAAAAAAATTTAAATAATAAAAGAGACGAGAAAACAAAACCGAAAATCTTAGCTAAACAGGAAAAGCTCAAGTCTTGTTGTCTGAGTGTGGATCTGAATATTTCTTTTTGTTTGGTACATCCACACCCTCATTGGAAATACTTATTAGGCCACTCATTTTTCAATTGATATAGAGAAAAATCCATGATGTCTACCATCAAACAAAATGATATTTCTAATGCAGATGCGCTGATGCATAGCATAACCGAGACAGGTAGAATAATACATACACAAGTTATCTATTCGTTGATCATTAACATGATAAACGATCATAAATTTGCACGTAGCCACGCGCCAACGAGCTAAAAGTAACCAGAAGGATTCGTCTTTTCATTGAGATTTTTATCTTACATATGTTAATCTGAAACAATCTTTTAGAATTATAAAAACTAACAGATACAATAGTATTGTGAGATATGTCTTAATCCTAATGCAGGAACTTGTTTTCAGTATCTAATCGATTACTATGACGAAATATTACGTTTTTGTCTTTGACGGATCAACATTCAAACGACTATTGTTTGACTTATATTTTACAGGGAGTGTGACTCGTCAATTGTACAGCTACACAACTGAAAAATGAATAGACAAACCAGTCGATGTAGCTAGAATCGAAATTCAGAAGTTCTGTAAAGAAAATTGTGCCAATAATGCATGGACATCCTTTATTGTTCACATATTTGCGTTTCCATTTCTTTGAAATATCCTCTGATCCGGTATTAGGAAGGAGGAGTACATTATGAGGGTGGGTGTGGGTGTCTGAGTATGGGTCTTGGTGTATTTGGATTCTTCTTTCTACTCACAGCCAGAGCCGCCCACACTCGCAGCCACAGCCAAAGCCACACCCAAACCCTTTGTTTTTTTCAATTTCGATTTGTTTGGAAAATTATTTGTGTGATTGTACTTCTAAATAAATCTTTTTCTAAAATATGTGAACCTACGATGCATCTCCATTATATACCTTCGAATTTTATCTACAAAGCCCTGTTAAAAGATTGTGTGCAACGCGGTTTTACCCTTTCAGGCCCGTGGCTCAGTGATTGGATGAAATACGTTTTAGATTTTATGTTTAACATAAGCATCATGTGTTGTGAATATTTCTACCAAAATTTTTTAAAAATTTTAAAGTCATTTTCAACCGATGCCTGTACTCTCCTACAAAGATGACGAACAAGTATTATGGTTATATCTAACGGAAATATGGACGTAGATTAAACGTCGGTGAAGAACCATAGCAAAACCAACCTTTGGGATATAATTAGGGGTCATCCTTGACTTGATCACTACACGGAAAACCGAAATATCTCAGAGAACGCAAAAGGGACCTATTTTTTCAGGTCCACTGTACCAAATATAGTATGGTTTTGTGAAAGACGACCTAAAAGGAGTGTTGAAGTGTATAGGGGTAGAAATTTGGGCCCACTCCCTCCGCTCCTGCCTCACAGACGTTATGCTTATCAACAAAATATCACAGAAATCTTTATGTACTATATATCATAGGAAGTAACAGACAGTCAAGTAAGGAAACTGAAGAATATTTGGCATTAGAACTTACCGATTGATTAAAACGACCAAGTACAATAGAACAATTAGGACATGTCTCTCTGATAATTAATTATAATAGCTATGTCGTGTTTCATATTTTTAATACCACATGAATTGCGCTAACACCTTTTTTCAAGTTTTGTAAACTTTGAATAACTCGTCTATACAAAAAGATATTGAGAAGTAGTTTTCTTCGTTACTTAGACGAAACTTCAACACACACATCTACGCTAAAATTATAAATATAATATACTCATTCATGCGATAAATATGATAAATGTTTGTAAGACCATGATACATAGAGTATGATGGCCTACCAAATATTGACCATATTTAGTACGGTGAGTCTGAATGGGTTAATATTCTTTCGTCTACAGATGAGGAAATTACGAAAAACAACGATGTCGCTCGCTCCTATCGTGTTCTATGTTTTTTCTTTCCTTCATTGGTAGAGTAATACTTTTCTTATGCAATGTTGTAATTTCATAAGAATGAAGAAAAACAATGTGTTTCATTTTATTCAGAAAAGTTTTGTAGATAATATAAAAACATTAATGACAAATTTGGAAAAACAAGCTGATGAAATCTTAGCATTACAATCAATATTTGATACGAAATTTCGCCTCCTTCATGACAACAATCAATATGAAATTTTAATTGATTTTGATCTAATTCAACCATTTCTTCTTCGATGCAATGATAAGACATCTATTATTCATCATTTGCCACCATTTTCTCTGATTATTCATTATCATGATGAGTACCCAAGTGATCGTCCTCCTTCGTTTATTCCTTCTTGTTTTTATTTTTCGAAAATATCTTTACGAAATCTTTGTCAGAAACTTGATAATTATTCATTTGTAAAAGGTGAAGTTTGTGTTTATGATTGGATCGAATTGATTAAACAAGAAACTACAAATGAACTAACACTTGACACCAAAGTCGAAGAACAAATCAATGATCCACGAGCATTAAATGGTTATTTACCTGAGAACATTGACCAAATTTATCAATATTTAATTAATTATAATACTGAACACGAAGAAAAACAATTTGAAAATCACTTTCAAACCTGTTTAATATGTTCAGATATTATTCGAGGAAGTGATTGTATTCGTCTTCATCGTTGTAGACATTTTTATTGTCGATCATGTTTAAATAGTTATGTTCAAATGACATTAAACAATGGTCGATTTGGTGAAAAACTTCTTTGTCCACAAAATCAATGTCAAAAAGTCTTACTTCCCAATGAAATCAAACAAATTATTCAAGACGATCAACTATATCAAAGATATGAAAGATTAACATTACAACATGCTTTAGAATTAATGAATGATATCATTTGGTGTCCAAGGTTAGTGTATTCAAACAGAAAAGATAAATAATAATTTTATTTAGATGTCAATCTCCTGTTCTTATTGGTAATGGGGAAGATAATCTTGCAATATGTGATCAATGTCATTATACATTTTGTAAAAGATGCAGAGAAATATTTCATTTTCAAACAATTTGCCCAAAAGATTATCTAATTAAACAATTGAGATTACAACAAGAAAAACAATTTGAAAGAATTAGAAAACAACAAGAAGGAGAACATGAACGAATACAAAAAGAAAAAAATCGAAAGCGATTAACCAAAGAACAAGAAAGAGTTCAGACAGAACGGGATAGAATCGAAAAACAACAGAAAAATGCAGCTGAAAGAGAACTTCTTAAACAACGATATCGTGAAGTTACTATTGATTTAACGGAAGAAGATAATTTATTAGAAAATATCTTAAATGCTGAACGAATGGAAGCATTGAATACTCAATCATGTCCAAATTGTCATGTCAAAATTGAAAAAAATGGTGGTTGTTCACATATGCATTGTTCAAGATGTGATTACAATTTTACTTGGTCTACATCGGAAGGACCTCAAGATCCTAAGATAACCTCACTGCTATATCATTCTTCTACAGCTCAATCAATTGAATCTATTAGAGAAGAATTAAATAAGAAATTAGATACAGGTTTGAAATAAACTATTTCAAAATCCAACGAAATTTTGATTTTCTTTTAGCAAAAATATCTGAAGAAGATGAAAAAGTTGTCATTAACAATCGATCATTTATTGGTTCTGCTATCGTCAAACGTGTCAAACCATGTCCAAATTCTTCATGTCAGAAACTCAATGTTAAAATGGGCAATGATAATTTGATTATATGTAACGATTGTTTGGAACAATATTGTTTTTCATGCGCGAAACCCATTAACGGATTGCAACATTTTCAAAAAAAATGTGATCGTTATACATGAGTTTAATTCATCAGAAAATTACTTTCATACACATATACATCATATGCTCGCGCGCACATAGACATCTTTATTGAAATATATCCAAGAATTCATCGGCCCATCTATAGATGTGTCGTCTCTACGTCGATTGCCCGTGCCTTCCTACCACAATATATAACAAAGATGTCCTCGTCGTCGTTGTCATCATTTTCTTCTCTCGTCTGTCTTGAGTCACTCTTGACCACCACCAAGGGAAGAATGCCTTAATTATGGTTAATTTTGTAAATTTTTCATTCAAAATTCTTTAAAGAGATAGCCGATTTTTACAAAAAAATTTTTGAAATAAAATAACCAAACAATCTAGAGTTAATCTCAGTCTCAAGTCTTCTATGAAGCTCCACCCTCTGGATAGACTGTACACGTTTCCTAGCATCCGCAGTATCGATGCTGCCCATTGCGCCTACAGATATGTGTTTACTCAGATTTATGTACACGTTTAGTGTGTGGGTGGCTCTGGCTGTGAGTAGAAAGAAGAATCCAAATACCCCAAGACCCATACCCAGACACCCACACCCAACAACCGGAGATGTAGAAGTTGAACAAAAATCTAGTCGTAAACAGTCTACAACGGAAAAAAGGAGTAGTGATTCAATCGATCGTAGCTCAACATTCTATCGAATCTGCAGGTCAAGTTACAGTTAGATTATCAAAGAAGGGTATAAATATTAGTGAAACCCCGCTAAGAAGGATGTGGGTGTGGATTATCTATTTACTGGGCACCATCACATCCATACTCATTACTAACTAACTATACATCCTTACATAAAAAGGAAAAACAAAATAGCTGTGCATTTTGCACGGGGACCCGCTAGTAATTAATAATGTAGACATTTGCACATTTAAATTTTCAAATAGAATTAACTCAAACTATAATCTTAGTCGACTATAGTAACCAGTGTCTACTTTTAGATAAAAATTTTTTGGGCAAGTATCAAAGAATTTTATCACAAAGTGAGATGTTAGACAAGACACCATGACACATGTTTCGATCTTGATCTTGATGCTGAAACTCACCAGGTAGTAACGAATTCTTGATGAATATTGGAAATAATCACAAGAATCCTAATTTATACTGCTCTGTCAGTATGAGACTAGATGTCGAGTATAAAAATAATGTGGCTGTTCTCTACCTAGTTCATAAACATCGGTGAATCGAATAATTTAACTAGCTACTCAATGTATATTTCAAAAAAAGAGTTCACGATGTTTTATCATGCGTATTTGACTTTTCTTCGTTTCCAGATATTTTGTACACTGAAAAAAAGTACCATGTGGAGCCTAAAAGAGTTCTGGGAGTTGAAACAAAGTCTAAATCACTCTAGGTTTCGTACAAATTGGGTTCTGTATGAGACTCTTATTGAAACCGCCAAAACGAGAGTTTCTTACATTACTCTTTCTGCTCAATGAAATAAACATCCACCAACTTTACTGACACAGTTTTGAACCACATCACTGACAATAATTAAAACTCATATTATAGTGCTCCCATACCCCCAACGATCTCCTCCTTATATTCAGAACACCACAACAATAATTTTAATTATTAGATCCATTTGAAACTTCCGTGAAGAACTCCACAATCGGATTCCTCTCAAAATCAACTAAGATTCATATTTGAACAGAAACTTAGCATATTGTTGACGCCTTCTTTTAATTAAAATATAAATTTACACTCGAACTTAAAACAAAACTTTACCTAACCCTTCATTTCGTGAGCTGTTCTCAATATAAAATCAAATCATGTTTGAAATATAACTTACCTCACCATTCCTTGTTTTTATCGATCTAAATAAAAAAGTAAATTCAAAGCGGAAATGAAAATTCACCTATTTATTGAACTGGTGAATCAATCTATAAACGTACAATGAAAAACGAATGCTTCTAAAGAGTTTTAAGATTTAAATGAAACTGAAACAAACATTTAGTTTTATTTTCATTTTTTATCTTTACTTTTTATTTTATTTTTTATGCTAAACTTGTAAGAGATTAACATTACAAATTAATCTATAGTTTTATAGCTAAAATTGCTATATAATAACATACCTAAATAGATAATAATGATTTGCTTTTGTTTTTTTAATTGTTTTATAATTAAATGATGAGTTCTTTTTAAATGTAAATAACCCTAATTATTATATATTTTATAGTCAATACAATATCGATTAGAATATTGAGAATTGATCTTCTCGTTTTGATCGTTTCATGCATTTGGTATTTAAGATCAAATCCATCGTGTTGTTGTTAATGGTCCATGTAATAGAATTAAGCCGTTGTTTCAGTTGAGAACAGTAAAATTAAATGTACATTTTAATCATATATATCATTTTAATAATTATTTCATACAGCTTTCGTTTTGTTCTACATCATGTAAAATCTTAAAACTCAACTTGACAAAAGTCATACCTTGAAAATAATCAGTTAACACCCATGTCGCACAAACCGATCGAAAACCGTCGGTTAACCGCGGTTATTTAAGCCATTTTAGCGACTTTACAGCGTAAAAACCAACGGTTAACCGCGGTTAACCGTTGGTTTTTACGCTGTAAATTCGCTAAAATGGCTTAAATAACCGCGGTTAACCGACGGTTTTCGATCGGTTTGTGCGACATGGGTGTTAACTGATTATTTTCAAGGTATGACTTTTGTCAAGTTGAGTTTTAAGATTTTACATGATGTAGAACAAAACGAAAGCTGTATGAAATAATTATTAAAATGATATATATGATTAAAATGTACATTTAATTTTACTGTTCTCAACTGAAACAACGGCTTAATTCTATTACATGGACCATTAACAACAACACGATGGATTTGATCTTAAATACCAAATGCATGAAACGATCAAAACGAGAAGATCAATTCTCAATATTCTAATCGATATTGTATTGACTATAAAATATATAATAATTAGGGTTATTTACATTTAAAAAGAACTCATCATTTAATTATAAAACAATTAAAAAAACAAAAGCAAATCATTATTATCTATTTAGGTATGTTATTATATAGCAATTTTAGCTATAAAACTATAGATTAATTTGTAATGTTAATCTCTTACAAGTTTAGCATAAAAAATAAAATAAAAAGTAAAGATAAAAAATGAAAATAAAACTAAATGTTTGTTTCAGTTTCATTTAAATCTTAAAACTCTTTAGAAGCATTCGTTTTTNTACTCCTTTCTCCAATTTTCCAGTTCTGTTCCAGTTCTAATTCCAGTTCTGGTGTATAATACAATGTACTCGCTTTATATACGTGCACACGAGAGAGAGAGAAGAATAGAAAAAGATATAATAGGCGTATGCGCATTACGTAGGCTATGTCTAAAGATGTAATCAGGTTACATAAAAGTAGATGGATAACATTAAGAAATAAACCAGATAGATTGATGACAGTAGCGAGTTATGCAAGGCCTATGGCCTATTGTATAAGACTCATCATAACGTATTCCTCCTTCCTAATACCGGATCAGAGGATATTCCAAATAAATGGAAACGTAAATATGTGAACAATGAAGGATGTCCATGCATTATTGGCACAACGAACATAAACAATGTCTTACTTTCATCAAGCATCTACATGTAAACGTCGGTACAGAAACTATTCCACTCGAAGTAAGTCCACATGGTTATATAAAAGAGGAGAATTTATGATTTCATTTCTTTAAATGTAAGGTATCTCAATTGATAGAAGAAAACCAATATTTGTATCAACACGCATTGATCTAGTAAATGAACATTTGAACGAATATCAACGAGTAAATATAGTAGCTTCTGTAGAAAACAGATAATATCGATTGGCATGTGCTAACTAATACATTTTTTTTTCATTGGCGACTGATTAGTATCAAATAAAAAACAACGATGATTGTTTCGTTTTTGTTTTTACGTCCGCAGTTGCATGTGAACAATGTTTGCATTAATACGCCGTCCATCACGTTGTTTTACCTACATTTATGGTATATATAAATGACTGGGATACACTAATATTACAAGAATTATTTTCTGGTTGAAAGAATCATCATCATCAATCTGATAAAGATAACGAAAGGGAAGACATGTTGATAACTCTCGATGAATACCCATCGGTGAATGTACTCGATTCTGAAAAGGATAAATTTTTACTTTGTCTCCTGAGTAATTATTCATATTTTTTTCTATAAGATAATCATGCTCGCCATCGTCAAACACGTAAAAAATTATCAATAACCACCCAGATCGCTCAATCCTACAATCAGATCCGAAAAAGGGTTGCATCAGATCTTACATGAAAACCGACAAGATTCAACAGATTCCGGGCTTCGGATCCGTGCGATCGGAATCCGATACTATCCGATCGTATCCTACTCTGGGATCCGATGCGCCAAAAGCCTGCTATAGTCAATCTCTAAAAAGCTTTTTTGCACTAAATAGAAATTTGATATTTTTTTAAAGTCTTCCTTCGGATATCGTCAATAGTTCCGAAACCCAGAGTTCAACTGGATTTCCTCCGTTAGTAAGATGTTTTAGGATCCGATAGGATCCGTCGGCGGATTAGTCGACCTGGGCACTATGTTAACGGAAATAAAACAACAGCAAAGTGATTCAAATGAAACTATGAATAAACTTTATGAACTACAAATCGATATGAACAAGAACACAAATAAAGTTTATGAAGAACAAATCAATATGAATAAGAATCAAAATAAATTTCTTGAACAATAAAGTGAACTAATTACACAATTGAAACTCATAAATGAAAAATTAAGCAAAATGATTTAATTGAACAACAAACGAAATAATTCTTATAATAATCATTTTTTCATAGGCTGCAAAATGATACCCAGGTCAATGATTCCGGAGGGCGGATACTGTAGGAGCCGGCCGGAAAGATGCGGAAAAATCACCGTATCTGGCCGGAAAGCACGGGAAAGCACTGGAAACTGGAATCAGTATTCCAGTTGGAAGTTACCGGATTTTTCCCTGTGGATTCCGGTCAGTTTCCTGTGTTTTACATCTGGAAGTTGATCGGAATCTACAGGAAGAAAATCCGGTAACTTCCAACTGGAATACTGCTTCCACTTTCCAGCGCTTTCCTGTGCTTTCCGGCCGTTTCCCGCCGTACGTCCACGACCTGGGTAATAACCCAGGACAATCATTCCGACCGTAGAACAAGTATCATAAGAGGGCTGAAACGGTATAATAAGGCATTCATTTTCACCTTATTTCGCCGTAATCTGTCAGCTCGTTGTACAGACTATTTTTTTTCGCTAGAAAGCAGGTATTCTTTTTAACACTATATTCGTCGTTTACGGCCGTTTACGCAACGTTTGCTTGGACATGGGAACGTCGATCTGGTCAATGATGGTCTTATGGATTATTCTTTTCATTATCTATTTTTTTTTATTACGATTTATCAATTTATATCTTTATTATTTGAATAAAAGTGAGAAAAATGCATTCATAATTCTGAACATATATTATATATTCATTGGGAAAATGTATAAAAAGATCGCTTGATTATCTTCAAAACAAAAGTTGAGAATCATTCTCTTTTATTCATTGTTAGTAATTAAGTGTACATTAATATTTAAAAACTGATGTCTTTTCTAATAATAAATTATTATTAAATAGAAAAGAATCGTATATACAATAATATATTTCATATTGGGCGGCTTAATTCATCATTTAATGATTTTGAAAGATGTGTTGTAACTATAAATGATGAATTTTCCACGTCTAGAATTATAGTTGAAAAAAGCGATAATAAAAGCGTCCCTAGTCAAACATCTTTTGGGATGCGCATGACATACTTGATGATCTTGAGCAAGAAAGTCATGCGCTATGGACAGATCTTGAAATATTTCTTGACATGCGGATAATAAGAGAAATTTTTGTAAAAAAAGGCATCCAAATCGAACATTTTTCTTCTATAAATGAGCATTGTTTGAAGAAAAAACGTTGTTACCTATACCAAAAATTTTTATAATTTTTTTGTGCACGTGCGCATGATCTTCTTGAACTTCTTGGGCAAGATGGCCCTGCGCTATGGACACATCTTGAGTTCAAGTCTTGCCAAGCGCTTGAAAAAAAAAGTTCGACTAGGGTAGTCAAACTATATAAATTAACACATCATCCACAGTAAAAATCTATAGATACAGTTCATATACACAGACACAGTAGTGAAGATATCGATTTTTCGAATAAAACTAGATTCATATTTTTAACAGTAATTTTTGTGAGTATTAATGATAAATGTATCAAATTATACTTCAAAGGAAGTACATGAAAAGTTGAAACTCTTGTTTTCATACATGTTTTCAGAAATCTCTGATAAATATATCTATTAAATATTTCATAACTTTGACGGTAGACTTCTATTGTCTCATCGAAAAGTTTAACGTAACATCGTAGAATTTCTATCTTTTAATATCAGTGATTACGAAAATAATTTTCAGAGATATTCATGATTCTTTTTTTGACAATCTGATATCGTTTAATATATCTAAGTATGAAAGGCACGTTACATTGATGGTCAAAAACATTTTTAATTTTCATAATTGATATTTTTGCATATATTTACAGCCCAGTCGAATTATAGAGCATTAACATTACCGATGTCAAACATTGACGGCATCTACAGTTCATTTGTATTCATTCTTGAGTGACTAATCAAATCATTCAAAGAAGAGATGAAACTATAAATAAAGAAAGAAAAAAAAAAGAAAAAACCCAAACTAACTTTGATTGATCAAGAAATGCCATTGAATATTTAGCAAGTTGTATTATTAGAATATCATTATCATTGATTAAGTATTTCTGTGTTATTAGAAAATGAAATTAGTTATCTTTCAAACTATGTAAATACTTGTTTTTTGAAATCTTAATTAATTCATAGGTAATTTTACTATTATTTTCAGTTAAATTATTCTTATCAAATGTCGTTTCTACAATTAATGAATAATGATTGTTGTTTATTAACTAATATTGATTTAAATTCACAACGAGTTCGTCAACTATTTGAACGTCGTTTCAAAAGTAATTCCAGTGTTACAAGTTTTGATTTTAAATCATTTCATCCAGAACAACCATCAAACAATGCAAAAGTATCACGCTCGTTATTACGTTTTCAGCCGAAAATACAATTGTCAAACGATTATGAAGATCATATTTCTACTGGTTCATCTTCATCAGAGGAAGACAGTCATGATGATGATGGTGAACTGTCAAACAACGATTATGATGATTATCTAAATAAACTTGCAGAATGGGAACCAGAAAATTTTCAAGTTGTAGCAGAAAGTGATGATGATAATGATGATGATGATGATGATGATGAATCCAATATATTTCAATCTATTAGTAACAACAATCATGATCAAGATAATGAGATAAATGAAATGGACTGTTCAATAGGTATGACAATAATGAATAAGAGAAAACTTATGCGTATGTCATTATAAATGGGACGACAAAGGAAAATTGAAGACATACTTAATGATAGATTTTCATTTACATGCTGAACAGTGAAGATATACACATTGAAAATGTGTCAATCTAATCCTCTGATAGTTCATTAGAATACCCTATATAGTAATCGTCAAAAAGTGCAAAAGTAAAATATACTTTTCTGTACATTTCAACCACTCAACTTCAATCTAAAACTAGCCGACGATATTCGCTAGAAACATAAATCTATTTCTTTGAGAAATTCAACTTGCTGCTCGTCGATAAAGCATCAGTATATTGCTTATGGCATTTTATTAAGTATATATATATATATATATATATATGTGTGTACTTCACAAAAACAGAAAATATGAAATCCCGTGCATTATCACAGCATCGAATTCTGTTTAATAGAATGTCAAAACGAACCGAACAACCCTTCGTTTTATTTAAAAGTTGACACGCTTTAAAATGAAATTCTTAATAAGTAATGTGCATTTGTCTCCGATTTGAACAGCACAATGTTTGTTTGTTTTTGTAAATTTAGTAGTCAATTTGAAGAACTATTCAAAACACTATTTGAATTCATTTCAAATAATAGTATGTGTAAAAAAGAGTAGAAATATTTTCCTCTTATATAATTTCAAGTCAAGAACACTTGAACATACTTATTTAAATTTCATTCTTTACTGATTAAGATTATGATTTTTTAAAATATTTTCACGTAAGAATAGAAATTTCGCACAAATAGAAATAAGAATATGAAGTTAATTGAAGATTCTAAACAAATATCTGTTTAAGAAAAGGGGATAGTAATTAAGAACTCTTTCAATGCAGTTCGAATAATACATTCAGCCAATCTACTTCAAGTGAGACTTGCTATTGTTTGATAAGAAATCCTTTTCGAATCACTTTTTGAAAAATACAAATATCTTATTAAATGATATTTTCTAGCTGAAGATGTTCCTTCGACATCAACAGAAGATCTATTGATCACATTCATTCATCGACCTATCAAAAATGAACCAATACCTTATGATGATAATAATATTTTCGAACATTCACCACAATTAGACGGTCAAATAGATTTCGCAACTCCGAAAATGCCTACTGAACCAGATCAACATAAGAATGAAAAAGATTTAAAAAGTATTATAGATAAAATAAAGGCCAAGACTGCTATGCCAAGTCGAGTAATTCAAATACATAGAATTCCATCATCACCAAATCAAAATCGTTCAAATGATGAAGTAAAAAAGAAAACTACGAATGCAACTCAAAAAAAACCTATCTCCACAAATCCAAAAGTCGATCGAACAAAAGAACCATCTATTCGACAATCAAAATCAACTAAAAAAATGACACCACGATTATTGAATAATTTATTAAAAGTCAACGAAGATGTTATTCGAGAAGCTGATACACGAAAACCATCAAATATTCAAGTGAATCTATAATATTTTAGTTCAACTTAAAAATGCATTCTGATTTTTACAGAAGTCTTCTGAAAAATTGCCATCATCAAATAGTAATCCACAATCAAAACGGCCAGATCAACGAACACATTTAAGAGCTGTATCAAATGAAGAGCGTATGTTTCTCCGTGAAGTCTTTTATTCTATCTTAATTAGATTCTTTTTGTAGGACAAGGAACGAAATCATCTTCCAATACTAAACAAAAATATATTCTACAAACTCGACAATCTAAAGAAAAACCAGCATCAGTTCATCTTGCAATGGCGGAAAAAAAACTAAATAATTATCAACAAAGTCAACAATTAAAACCTCCACTTCCAAAAATTTCTAAGTCAAATAGTACTCCTATTCCATCTAGTAAAAACTTAAAATCGAAAGATCCGAGGAAAATCTCATCTAAAGTATTTACAAAATACCCACTTAGATAAACCGTAAATTATTTTTTTTATTTCTAGTCTTTGGATTTATCAACTCGAAACTCTGAAGCATCAGTGAGATCGCAAGCCCTAAATGATCATAATCAACAAAGAAAGAAAAAAACGAAGAAAGTAAAACGTTTAAAAACAACTGAAACAAATTTATTATCGGCTAGCCAAACACAAACAAAGCCTCCGATACAAAAACTAAAAACACATAATAATGGTACAGTTATTTTTAAAAAGTCGATATTAATGAAACAATTATTTTGTCTTATGTTAGATTTGTTGGCTGTTCAAAAACCATCATTAATGAATCATCTATCCGAACCATCCATTAGTGCAATGAGTTCGAATAGTAGTATTAAGACACGACCAGAAGATTTCTTCAGTGGATGTATTGTAATCGACGATGATGATCAAGAAGAAGAATGCAACAATGAAAACAATAACGATAACGATGATGTGCAAGAAATTCAACGACAACAGTAAATATACGATAAAATATGTTTCAGAGATGTTAATCTGTTAAAAAAACGAAACTTCAATACATCGACCCTTGACTTTATAAGGAATATTTCTAAGTGTATTTTGAGACCAAATAGATATCTGATACTCATGATCAAATTAGTCTTCCACCATATTTAGCTTGATCTAAATTATAAGAATCATATCGATTTTTTAAATTGAAAAATTAGACTTCATTTTAATTAGTAGAGAACTGCAAAATATATAAGAATTCCAAGAGTAAGAGTTGGTTACAATCGAAGAATCAAAACAATCGTTTGCTATCGAAAATATGTTTACTATTCTCTTTCATGCTGAAAGATGAAAGCATTATTAAAAACAAATCTAAATCATTATCTGATAATAAAAATAACTCAAAATCTTAGTGAAAATAGAATCCGCTTTTTCTTCAATTATGACCATTTCAGTAAGTTATGTAGCAAAATTTTCCCATTCTTTCAAGTCACTATGTTTATTTTTATTTCGAATAATTGAAATTGTTCATAGGACTAGCTATTTAACAAAAACAGAAGCTAACCAAAAGAATTGTTGAAAGTTTATCAAGGATACTCTTGGCGATGCACCTTCGCTTGTTTAGATTCTAGTACGATACATAATCAATAGTTTCTCTTTGAATTTTATGTCTCCCATACAACTAAGATTCTCTTCAGTCTAATATGAGGAGGATTTTATTCAATCACATACCTTTTAAAAAATTTCCTCTCAATATAAAACATTGTAATGTTTAGCTATTCGATTTCATACGATATTCGTACTCGTGAGAAGCTTCTTGATCATGCAGTTCATTCGTCTTCGATGCACATCAAATGGTTATTCAATCTTGAACATGTTCTTCTCGAACATATTCATATATGTCACGAAAAGCATATTCGTCCATTAAATAACACATATGAAAATTCGACATGTGAATATCAAGTTAATTCATCTTACTATTCAATTGATCCATCATTTGTTTCAGTAATAATTATAAATTTTATAAAAATGTTTATTTTACGAAATTCTGCCAATGATCAACAAGAATTATCATTTGTACAATTTGGTATAACATCACATTTACGTTATTTATTAATTGAATTACCAACATACAATCATCATAACGATGAAAAAGATTTAAATGATAATTGTTTTAAATGTCATCAATATTCTTTAATAATAAATATCTTATTTGATTTATTATTTGATTTAATTGAACACGATTTATGTGAAATACCTTCAAAAACAAATTATCGTTCATCATTAATTGAAGATGATTATTTTACAAGATTCTTACAATCAAATATAACTAAAAATCAACCGTATTATCGTATTAAGTTGATAGTCTATTTTATTGAATTAATTGGGATACATATGAATAAATGTCAAAATAAAAAACAATTTCAATTCAATCAAAATGAAGATAAATTATTTCATTCTATGGAAGATTTTATCCAAAATATTATTTCTCAAACCAATAAGTAAAGCAAGAGAAAATTTTATTTTTTCAAAAGTAAATTTATTTCTTAATATTTAGTTCAATTAATGAAAGAATTTCAATATGTTTTAATATTATGGAATTGTGTCTTTTATTTGTCCATGACAACGATATTCGAATGAAACAAGTAATATTATTGAAAATATGAACCCTGTGCTTCTATCTATTATCTATTTTAGATGGCTTTATTTTTAGCTGAATTATGTTTTGATAATTCGCATCTTTTACATTTATTTCTATTTGATAAGAATTTACTCGTTGACATTCGTTTATTATTATTCAACGAAGTCTGTTTCAGAAGATTCAATTTGAAACTTATAACAATTAATAATATCATTGATTTATTTCGACGAGTTGAAGTAAATAAAAATCTATTACTTCCATTTTCATAGTGTGAAAATTTTTTCTATTTGTTTTTCTTGTAGGAAACTTCCAATTCAAAAGATGTAAGTAGAAGAAAAGTCAAACTAAACTACTCGTTGTGATGTAATACTACATTTTATCCAATGGAAATATAACTTAGGTTTAGAAAATTGAAAAATAATTGTTACTTCAATCTTCTATTATGTTCGAGTAATCGGTCCAAGAGTTTTCGAGTTGTGAAAATATTGTTAAAGTATCATCTTTCAGCAAGAGACAGTATGGGCATTTGACTCATCTTAATAATTTTCAATTAAAAGTTCTCAACAAAATAGAAACTACTCGTGAAATAAGCAACATAAAACAGAGTCTATTGTTTATTTAAAAATTTATCTACTTTTTAATATTGTAATTTCACCATCTTGCTCGTAATTAAACTTCGAATGGCACTATGCATTCGAAAAACCTAATAAAAACAGTATCTCTCTATTTCGAAACATATTTCGTGAGTTAATTGACGGTGGTTTGTATAAAATTTTGAAATCTTCTTGCTATTTATTTCCAAAGACTATGTCCTACCGAGTTTCCGTTATACAAATAGAATTTCAAAGCATAGAAATTTGATAGAATTAAATTAACAGTGATATGTAGTCCCACGAGTTGCCAGTTCTGTTGATTCTTATCTCTCCTTAGTTTATCAAATAACAACAAAATGCATTTTATGCATCATTTGGAGGTTCGTTTTTTTTTTCTCAAATTTTATTGAGTGACTATATTCTAAATTAAAACTTGCTTTCTAATGAAAATAATAAAATGATTATAAAGCCAAGTAAATAACTGATTCTCCTTTTTAGCCGATCGATGAATTCGTCTTATTACTAATAAGAGGTTTGTTCACTTCTTATGCCGATCTAATTACTGGTATGTAGATAGTGCGACAATATTTTATGAAAAACTAATATTTCGTTTTTATTTTGTAGAAATCAAACAGCTACCATTCATGTATTCGAGTTCTGTTCAACAGATAACCAACTTGTTAGGAAATCAACTTGGCCCAGTATTTACAAAATTAAGAGAAGTTACTTCGAATAATTCAAACTATTTCGAAAAAATCAAAGGAACATTAATATTCTATCGTCTTCTTGAATGCAGATGGAATAAATTGTGAATTTCGTTTCCTTTTTTCTTCATTTTGTTCTTGTGTTTGCATAATTTTTTTTCTATTTGCATTTGTATTCTTCACCATAGTCAGATGTACATTTTGGTGCCAGTTTATTTCTTCAGGTGTTTCTTTCGATGAATTCTTTACGGTGTATCAATTGGAATCCTCTTTATTTTTGTTCACTTTTAAGAAATGAAGAAAATGCGAATGAGGGTAAATTTTTTCGATTGACATGTCATCGAAATAAAGTTGGATATTAAGATAATATACATTTTTAGACCAAAAGAAAACGCTTCCTTTTTGTATTCATTAGATATATAAGTAGAAAATATGGAAACGGATAATAATCATGCCGACCGATTTGAATCATCAATGTCAACATTGATAAATGAAGAACAATCAGAAGGTAAAAATAAAAATAAATATTTTCAATTATCTACTCTTTGACGATAAAGAATGCATCATTTAACGAGCAAAGGAAAGAAAATAAATTCTTTACACTAAATTGAATAGGACAAATATTTTTGTATAAGATTTTGATTGCTTCCAAGCCAATAGCTTTTCAAATTAACCTATTCATGTTACGTTGTCTAATTAGTTTGATTAGTTTATTGCTTTGTAATAGCAAGGTAATTGCTCGAATGAATGTTGTTTTTATAAAATTATTTAGTTCAATTTATTATCTACATTGAAAATTTTCGTGGAAAGAATATGATTAAATTTTCACAGCAGGGATGCATTTTTCAATTATTAGATTGACAAGTAAATTCTGAAAATAAAATGAGAGCAATAGAGAAGTCCAACAGGAGCATAATAATAATGATGTTTTTACTAGCGTTGAAGATGCTTAATATTATTCAATATCAATCTAAATTGAGAAACTAATGATTTACTTCCGATAAATGTCTCTCTATTTATTCAGTGTTTTCGAGTAGAATCTATCAATGATTAAAATTAGTGCTACGATCACTTGCAGGAATAAAAATGTTCGAATTTTAATTTGAAAATAAATTTATGATTAAACATATCTTCATCTCACCAATTGCATACATAGAAAAAATTCGATGCTCTTATGTTGAGATAAGAATATAACAAACGACCTAGAATTTAAGCAACAAATTATTGAGGCTAGAACTGTTTGTGAGCGAGATCACGACATCATATTAAAAAATACTGATAGAAAAAGAACAATAGCAGTAAACTTAGCACTCAAGTTCTTGATGGTATATTCATAACGTAAGAAAATGTACATGCTGCACAAATTGTAGTAGATCAGTTGAGAAAACCTCCTTCGCGTTATCTTTACTGGAATTGTTCTTACTCATGAATCGATCAGTGTTGTTTTTTTTATCGTAGATACCATCATTCATGATGTTTCTCAAGTGATGAATGATCTTTTGATACAAATCGAAAATCAAATACTCGATGAAGATCAATCAGGATTTACAAGTTTTGTTGTTGAAGATATTATGAATAAAATTCGTTTAACAGCATTAGGACAACGACAATCATCAAGTGCAGATGAATTATCTTCACCATCACTTTCAAGTTCTATTGTTGATGTTCCGTCAGTTCAATCAAGTCATTCGATATCTTCATCGCAAATAACTTACGATGCCAATCAATATTTATCACCGATTGATAAACGTATTCTCGAAGATATTGAACTACAGTCACATGCACTTGCACAGGAATTCGTTAAAACGGTTGAACAATTAACATTATCTTTGCATAATATGTCTGCTACGAGTGTTTGCTGTCTACAAACATATCGTGATGCTGTTGGAGAAAAATTGAATGAAACTATAGAAACAAACATAAAAACAATCTATACATTTATGGCTCAAGCCGAACAATTAAGTGTACAAATGGCGCCAATTTATGAATTACAAAAGAAGATTACACACATAAAACAGTTACTCGATATTCTAACACAATCTATTTAACTTTTAGTCCCTAATATTATTATATAATTTATTTTCTTTTAATTTAAATTGGCATATATATATATATATATATATAAAACCTAATGTATGTCTATGTCTACTGTTGTTTTTGTTTTGAAGATTAGACTATAATAATATGAGTAGTAAATCAAATTTCAAAACATTAGTTATAATTGATCTTGAAACAACTGGTTTAGTATATGATCAACCTAAAATTACTGAATTAGCAATGATTGCTGTAAATATGTAAGTGTGCGTATAGCGTAGTTGAAAATAGCTAGACTACAGAAATATTAAATATACTTCGTTTGATTTGTTTAATCGAGCTGCAAACTTTTCTCAATATGATCCAGGAAGTTTCTGCAGCATAGACTCGAGTTTTGTCTGTTTGTCTTCTTTCGAGAAGGACAAAAACAAATTCTGAACTTATCAACGTATTATTATATAAGATGTAAAGAGTTGTTTATAAATTTTTAAGAGCTAGCTGATGAAATTTTCAACATGTAAATATTGACATGAAATAACTACGCTTGCCGAGTCATAAATTTGTTGTTTTGTTCCGTTATAATATTTACTATAAGACATCACTGATTTTTAATCCAATGGCGTAAGCCATATTGATCTCGATAGCCTAGACTTCTGAGACACTATACACGATCTTAAAGAAATCATATACAGATATAGCTTTTAAAATGATTCAAATCTCACGATGCAATACTTGTTTCTCAGTGGAGTATAAAACTTGCATGGATTCTTTATCATGGAGAAGAAATAATTAATTTTATTAATTACAATGAACTGAAAATATTGAGTTCTGTTTTTGATTAACGATTTCGCCTTGTTGTTTTTCTCTGAATGTATATTTTTGTTTCTGAAATTTTAGCGAGACGTTGGAACAAATGAAAGTAGAAGAAGCATTACCACGTGTATTAGTAAGTGAAAATATATTGATTCGTTGGATTTGTATGTGCTCTTCGTTCATTTAGAATAAATTTGTCAAATTTTTCAATCCATTAAAATTCTTAAATAGTACAGTAGCTGAAATGACAGGTAAGCAATGACGATAGACGAAAGAGTATGCATCGTTGTCTTTTAGGCTTAACGAATAGCATGCTGGCTGATTATGCACCGTTCAATCGTGAAACAGTTCTTGGAATGGAAGCTTTTTTAAGCGATTTTGAAAAACCAATGTGTTTTGTGGGTATGATAGTGTTTCATCAAAATTTGCATTCATTTCGAATCAAATTGTTAAATGCTTAGTGTTTTCAAAAATTCATTATTCTAGAATTGAAATTAAGGTTTCTGGTTTTCTTTGTTAATTCTCTATTTTTGAATTATTATGCAAGTCTTAGTTTTGAACGTGAATTCATTACTCTTTAGTTTTTTCTGTCGAAAGGGAGCTATTTATTGTCCAGAAAATAATTGCTCTAATGAACTTATCATGTCTTCATGTCTAGATTCTATCGTTTTCTACTAATTAAATCTAAGTTCGATATTAGAAACATATATATATATCAAGCTAATTCTACGCACCAATGAAATTATTTTCTTGTTTTTAGCTCATAATGGAAATCTATTTGATTTTCCCATTTTATTCACTGAAATACGATCTGCACTTTCAAGTCCTTCATTTTATGTTGTTAACATGACTAATAGTACTAATGATGTATCTCTGTCGAATATGAATATAGCGGTCGCAAATGATAACATATCGACAGCTTCTCTTACGACAAAAGATTCATTTACACAGACATCAATAACAAATGATGATTCTAATCAAACTTCATTATTATCGATTGCTTGTGCTGATTCACTTGTTTTCTTTCGAGAAATGCACCGATTACTTAATGATAAAAATCTCGTGCAATGTTCAGTTGAAAATATATCAAAAGAATGCCCAACGATATCTAATCAAGATCAATGTCATAACAATGTATCAACTGATTCAATTGAACCGACTTCAATTTCAGAAACACCTAATACTACTAACAATAATTCATCATCTCATCATGGATATGTTGAAATACCGATTAAATATATTCCATCACAAGATCCTGCACGACAGCAACTATCAATGAAACTTGTTAAGATTTATGAACGAGAATTTAGTCAAGCAACATCTAAGCTAAAATCGCATCGTGCAGAAGATGATTGTCTGATGCTTTTAGCTATTATAAAACGTTATTTGCCAGATTGGCTTGAATGGCTGGAAACGAATCAGCGACCATTAAGTTATTTTTCTACTTTACCATTGACATCAACAAAGAAAACTTTCCCGAAACCTATTGTAAATACGAAACGGCCACTTAAATTTTAATTCTGACGTTATCAACTGAAAACTTTGAAATTTCTTCGTCTTATGATTATGCTTATTATTGTTACTTGTGTTTCGCGGCTTTTTCCAATTTTTTCTTTAAGCTACTGAATAAGAATAATTGAAAGTAATTTTTCTAGTTGAATATTTGAATTGCTTAATGGAAAATTGGAAAGACAGTATTTGCGGGAAAGTAACAACATGTTGTTGACACCGCCAAGAAAATCCCGACAACGAATTACCTTTCTCTTTTCTTGGAAGTTTTCTTCTGTTTCTTTGTGTGTACATAATTACGCTTCTCACAACGATGTCAAGGCCTTATTCTTTCAATTTCGCACACGTCGATCTCGTTTTACTTTAAGTGTTTGTTGACTTACTCAGATGTGGCGCTCTAAAGTCTGAATTCTCTTCCTTTCTTTTTTTTTTCTTATTTCTATTTAATTGCTGTTAGTTTTCATTTCGTACACATTTTTCTTTCTTTTTGCAGTACAGAGCATTAGCTACATATATGCTTTTTTTTTAAATTTCAGTTATTTATTATTAATATTATAAAGCAACAATAGACATATCAAATAAAATAGCCTCACACAATGAATGTAGCAATGGAAAATAATATTATACTGAAAACAGATTCATATAAAGTATCTCACCATAAACAGTATCCAAAAGACACAAATCTTGTTTATGCTTATTTGGAAAGTCGTGGTGGTATTTATCCTGAACAAGTCTTTTTTGGTTTACAATATATATTAAAAAAGCATTTACTCGGAAAAGTTGTGACACGAGAATATCTCGATCAAGCAACAGAATTTTGGAAAGAACATTTTGGTTATGATATTATTGATCGAGAGATGTGGGAGCATATTATTGAAAAACATGATGGACATTTACCAATTCGTATCAAAGCTGTACCTGAAGGTACAGTCGTACCAACGGGAAATATTTTAATGTCAATCGAAAATACTGATCCAAAATGTTCATCATTAACAACATTTCTAGAAACAATTTTACTACAAGTTTGGTATCCAATAACAATTGCTACGAATTCCAGAGAAATTAAAAAGATACTAGTAACTATTGATCTTAATTCAATCGGGCAACGAGAAATAATTTTATTGTATTTTAGTTAGGATCATTAAAACGAACAGGCAGTCCAAACTTAATTAAAACACAAATGCATGATTTTGGATTTCGTGGTGTATCATCGTATGAAACATCAGCAGGTCGTTTTCTAACTAATTATCAGTGTTTACTTATTCGTTACATTTCTTCTTTTGTTTTGTTTTTTCAAAAAATTAGTTGGTGGATGTGCACATTTAACATCATTCTATGGTACTGATACAATATCTGGCTGTATTTTAGCTCAGAAATACTATTTGGCTAAGAAAATGCCTGCCTTTTCTATTCCGGCATCAGAACATTCCACAATGGTTAGTTGGACACGCGAAAAAGAATCCGAAGCCTATGAAAATATGCTAGGTCTGTTAAAATAAAAGAATCAAAACATATTGAACATTATTTGCCTTAAAATAGATATGTATCCAACAGGTGTAATTGCATGCGTATCTGATTCATATGATATTTACAATGCATGTGAACATATTTGGGGAGAACAATTACATGACAAGATCTTACAACGAGATGGAACATTAGTCATACGATCTGATTCCGGTAAGTATTCTCAAAAAACAACAATTAACAATAAAAGAAACAAAGATTTCCATTAAGTTCTCTTAGGAACTCGCTCGATTGAAATCGACATATATTATACGTTCTAAATCAATCCCTTGAAATTTTAATTAAGCTCAATAACACGTAGAAAAATAAAATTTTGCGTTCATGTTTGTCAATAGACATTTTTGTTTTGTAGGAATTTTTATTTATGAAATGGTAACTAGATATAAGCATACATAAATACGCTTACTAATAGCTTTTTCTAATAATGGGTAATTTTGCAAGTGTCGCTTGCTTGGCTATCGAAAGAATAATGGTTGAAAGTCAACAAGAGTATTGAAGGCTGGTTAGTTTTGGTAGGAATTCGTGAGTGGAAAAAAACAAGACGCCCGTTTCGTTTCCTTATCATAAACGAGAAATTTACGAGATTAGAGTCATTCTTCTTGACATGTTTCTGCCGCTAGGTGCTCGAATACATCTATATGTCATTGTTGACTGAAGTACTAACTACATGGAAATCTATGTTAACAGCAATATTTCTACGTCACCTGTATAAAGAAAAAACAATTCAGTAAGCATTAGTGTTCTTGTACACTATAAAACGATGAAAATTGATAAACTTTTACTATCTGCTTATTACCATTAAATAAACTATTTTTAGGTTATTCAATGTAATACATCTGTTCGTGCAGATTTTTTTCCCTGAAGCATCGACACTGTCTTTGGCTCGTTCCATTGCATATGTTCTTACGTTGTTTTTTGTTTTTACCTGTATAGACGAGTTTTGAATTATTTAAAAAGGGTAAGGCCTCAGGCGAACGACTTCTTATTCTGCGGCTGTGTCTGAAGCATGCAATTTTGAAACTTTTGTCTGAGGTTTCATCCAGCTTTAATAACCGAAATAGATTTATGAGCTATGAGGATACATTAATTCAAAGCGAGTCTAAATTTCTAGAAAATTTATGAGACGATAGATTACAGCCATAAAGTCAACATATGTTTATCTCATACTAATCAACGTATACAATAAAGGTTGACTATTCTTCACATTTTGTTTTCATCAGTTTCGTCCATCCGTAATTATTATATCAAATAGTTGACATAAATGATCACAAAATTGAAGTTACATATTGCCAAAATTTTCTTATGTGCCATCTATATTTTAATTCGTTTTCATATTTAACAAAAGGCTGCTTGTTTATTATTAATGAAAGTTTTATAATTCTGCATCAGATAGAAGCTTATTTTCATCGGTATCATACTTTAATATTTTTGTTTTCCTATAGGTGATCCAATAGAAGTTCTTCTAAGAATAATAAATATTCTCTATGCTAAATTCGGTGGACATACGAATGAAAAAGGTTTCAAAGTGCTCGAGAAACATGTTCGATTAATTCAAGGTGATGGTGTTAATATGAATTCGATTAAAAATATTGTTAATTTATTTGAAAAAAATGGTTTCTCTACTGATAATATTGTATTTGGTAGTGGTGGTAAGTTTTGTTTCAATTTTTTATTCATTGTTTCAACGAGCGTTTTCTGTTATTTTAGGTGCACTCTTACAAAAATTCGATCGTGATACAATGAAGTTTGCAATGAAATGTTCGTATGTTGAAATGGCCGGTGTGGGTGGTTTTGCAGTTGCTAAAGATCCAATCACTGATAAAGGCAAACGTAATAAACCCGGTCGACTTAAATTAGTTAAACAAAATGATGGTAGTTATCGAACATTAAGTAGTTTAGAACATCATAGCGAATATGAAATAGCCGAAGATCAACTGGTAACCGTATTTGAAAATGGAAAACTTCTATGCGAATACTCATTTGATAGTATCCGTGCCAATTGTGATATTGATATTGATCGCCTCGATTCTATGCATATTATGTAGAATAATTTTCCGTGAAAACAAAAAAAACAACAGAACATGACATTGTGTGTTTCTATATGCATGTGCCCATTTGTCTCCTTCTTTTACTTTTATCTATGGAGACGCATATTCACATCTTCTTTTTTATGCTGCCAGTAAATAACTAGATACTGGAATTTTAATAAAAAATAAAATCGAATTCTTCTGTAAATTTTATTTTTACAATTTATTTCAGAAGTATACGGTTCAGAAATTATGACTGATAATAAGCAAGATGAATTGGCTATTCAACGTTTTGTTGAATATATTCAAATAAAAACAGTACAACCCGAACCAGATTATGATAGTGCTTTAAAATTTTTAAAAAATTATGCACAAGAACTTGGCTTAGAATATCGAACAATAAAACTTGATCAAGATCGACATGCAGCTGTCTTAACTGTATACGATTTTTCATTTTAAATATTAGAAAATGAACTATATATGCATATGTTTTAGTGGTTATCACCATCGTCAACAGAGAAATCAATTTTACTCAATTCGCATGTAGATGTTGTACCAGTTTTTGAAGAACATTGGATTGTTCCACCATTTTCAGGTGAAATTCGGGATGGAAAAATTTATGGACGAGGAACACAAGATATGAAATGGTAATTAATAGAAAACACAGCGGAAATAATTTTTAATACGGTGCGAAGCACAGCATTCTTGTAGTCCGGCGCGAGTTTTTTTTGTTTTTTTCTTTCTAACTTGAGTAAGCATAAAAAATTCTCGTTAATTGACATGATGATCTACAGAACCGTAAATGATAGAAAATCCGTTCAAACTAGATATGAAAGTTTCAAGATCGAACTTGTTACATCTTTTTTCAAATTTTCGATACTAAGTTTCGTTTGGTCTGAAAATATCATTCAAAAATGATGATTTTGTAAGGTTTTTATCGTTACAGAGTTTCGAGATAATTAAAATGATATCATCAATCAATAGTAGCCAATAAACTATTTCTTCGCATCTGATCTAAGATAGCGAATCATTGAAATAATTTAATGTTCAATCAAAAGCATTTTCTAGGATTACGGTGATTATCGCGAAAAAAAACGTTTTCTCATCAATGAATTTTATTATGATTACTTGAGAACTAAAAAAAGTGTAATGATTTTGTGAACGAGGAATTTTAAGATTGCTTGCTCCTTTTCCGTTAATTTTTTTATTTTTTCGTGTACTCGGCTCGTGCTTCGCACCGTATTTCGTATACGAGTGAAACTCGAATACCATCTAGTTTCTATTCTGATTTGAAGAAAGCTACTATTAAAAAAAGTAGTATTTTCTCTTGAATTACTAAATAATATCCATCATAGGAAAAATATATTCGTTGTTATGTTATGTGATAGAACAAGTGTAGAAGAAAAAAAAAACAGGAGATAAAGATTTGAACGCATTATTGTTAGTTCATAACATCTCAAGTATATTTTCCAGGATCCTATTAACTTTCCTGTAAAGAAAATTGAGCAATTATCTATAATTACGCTTTGCCTAGATCTTTTGAATCCGATGAAGAAAAGAACTCAAGCAAGAGTCAAAACTTTTTGTTGTATAATGGAGTATTTTTCTTTGAGATAATTATTTTCAAAAATTAACAGGATCTACTTGTTTTTAATGTTACTATTATTAAAATTTAATATTTTTTAACACAGAATGAATTTTTTTTGGATTAGACTCACTATTAAAAATATCAATCTAAATATCGGGTGGCCCACGTTAAATGTCCCTCTCAGTGTTTTTTCAATAACTCTATCATTTTCATTTTCTAGGCCTTAGTTTTTTTCCCAAAAGATTCACCATTCAATTCTCTACAAGATTAATATTACAATTTTTTCTGTTGAAAGTTGAGGAAGAAAATAAAAAAAAAGAATATTCAACAGCTATAACAGCTTCAACTTTCAAAGTGATTTTTAATACAAACTTTTGCAAATTTTTTACAATGGCGCACAAAACGAAACAGAAGCAAGATGTTACTGAATAATTTGAAGTGTACTCTTTCTCGTCGTGTAGCTCAGAACTCGTCGAAATCAAACGGAAGATGGAAAAACTTGACTTTTTAAAAATTCTCTTCAAAATAGCTTAAACCAGATATTTGGCGGTTGCTGAATTAACGAAAAACAATTAAAACTCAAATTTCGCGTTTGACTTTGGTACAGTAGGCCATTTCGATCAAAATGGGGAAAAAAGGAATGCGAAAAATGATATTTTGGCTTAGTTGCGCTTCTTTTCCTAGGGATATCGAAATTGCCGATTGAAAGAATTAAATTCTCGCAAATCTGAAAGAGAAGATACTTAGAGTGCGCATTATAAGGTTGCATGTGTAAACTTCTCAATTATGATCGGAAGATAGAGCTTTTCAAAGGCTACAAAATACCTACATTGTTTAATTTTTACCATCACTGACCAAAGAAAAAAACCTGCAAAAACTATTTTCCAACTTCGAAAGTTGATGCTGTTATAATTGTTGAATATTCCTTTTTTTAATTTTCTTCCTCAACTTTCAACAGAAAAAATTGTGGTATCAATCTTGTAGAGAATTGAATGGTGAATCTTTTGGGAAAAAACTAAGGCCTAGAAAATGAAAATGATGGAGCTATTGAAAAAACACTGAGAGCGACATTTAATCGGGCCACCCGATAGCTCTTTAGAAGCATCTTATTTATTGTCAAGATTGTTGATAGGATAGATAACAGTTTCTTCTTATAAACAAGATTAATTTAAGCAAGTTTTTATGTTTGTTTTAGTGTTGGAATTCAATACTTAGAAGCTATACGTCGTCTTAAAACAGCAAAATATGAACCGAAACGAACAATACATTGTTTATTTGTTCCTGATGAAGAAATCGGCGGAGAACGAGGAATGAAACAATTATTAACACTTGATGAATTTAAAGATTTAAACGTTGGCTTTGTTCTTGATGAAGGTTAAATAAGAATAAAACCAACATTTTTTTCAGTTTAAACTAGTTTTTGGATACCTTTGTTAGGTCTAGCAAGTGAAAGCGATGTCTTTCAAGTTTATTATGGTGATCGTGCTTGTGTTTGGATAGAAATAATAGTTAAAGGTAATACTGGGCATGGATCGCGTCTTATCGAAAATACAGCTGCAGAAAAAGCTCAATTTCTTCTTAATGAAATGTTAAAATATCGTACTGATGAAAAGGAACGTTTAAAAAAAGGTCAAACAGCTGATAAACCACTTCAATTAGGTGAAATCACAACAATCAATTTAACAAAACTGGATGGTGGCGTTCAAATAAATGTTGTTCCTGATCAATATACACTAGCCTTTGATTGTCGCATTAAACCCAATGGTTACGACGCATTTAAACAATTTTTAAATGATCTTATTAAACGAATACCAAAAAATAATGATGAAGAAGTAACACTTGTCTACAAGCAAGACTCTGGTCCACTTCTACTTACTGACATAGAAAATTCATCTTGGTGGCTTGACAGTTTTAAACGTGGATGCGAAGAAATGAAATGTAAATTGAATTGGACTGTGTTTCCAGCTGGTACTGATAGTAGATTTTTACGTAACGTTGGTTACCCTGCAATTGGTTTTTCACCTATGATAAATACTCCTGTTCTTTTACATGATCACAATGAATATTTAGCTAAAGATGTTTTTCTTCATGGTATTGACATCTATATTAGATTAATTGAAAATCTTACAAATGAACCAAAGTTCAATGTCTGAAAAGCAAAAGAACTCAATTAATAAACAGAAAGTGTGAAATGATGTTCTTGTGAATTCTTTTTACCTTTGATTAAAGTTTGATTTTTAAATTGGAAGCTATCTGTTTTTTTAATACATAAAAACATCTATGATTTATTGTATGACACATAAAAGTAGTTTGAGTATTTATAAAATATTTGTTTTCTTTATGTTTATCCTGGGTGTAGACATATTAGAGATGCAATGACGACGGTGATTATCGTTCCCAGGTATATCGTTGTAGATGTTTTCGTTTATGACACTCATCTCAAGATTTAATAAAACAACGAAATCATTTTTTTCTAACAATAAAATCGAATTTAACGATGCCAATAAAGTGTTAAAAAATTTCGAAAACCGATTAATGAAGTTTTAGAAAATTGAAATTAAACGAAAGTCATCATAATTTTATCGTTAGATTGTGCAATACATGTTTTAATCAGAATATTATCACTGTTGTATCCGCTATATAGAATATAGATCAATTCCATGAATGAGATTTTATTGAGAGATCAATTTTCTACATAACACTATTATTCGACTAATATATCTACTTTGTATTTTAGATCTAATCGATTCTCATTTTATCTTCCTATACTATTAGTCAACAATGGTCGTAGCTGTGTAAGTCAATATGTACAATTTTATATTATGCTTTTGTTTTTCTTAGCAATATTGATTTTTCATTATTTTGTTTTCTATAGAGTTATCCAATTAGCAACTGGCTCATACAAATCACCAGCTGAGGCAGCTGAATTTTATTTAGATAAATTAGAAAAAGGTGGTGCTAAAAAGACTCGTCCATATCAAGTTGATTTAATCAGTTATACATCATGTTAGTTTGTAAAATATTATTATTTACATTTTTCTTAACTCTTTCGTTTTCCAGTAACACAAAGTTCTAAAGTCGTTCATGTTTTATCACATTCTGAATATCCGGCATCATCATTTGCTTTTGCTGAACATTCAAATAATCAAATGCTTGTTGCCGACAATACATTTGTTGCATTAATGAATAAATTAAAAACCTTACGCGCGTTTGAAATACGTTTACCTAAAATGGAAGTACGAGGTACACGATTTGAATATCAAGATTTTATTATTAATCTTGGCATTGTCAATCAATCACAAACAACAAAAGGATTAATCCTTGAAGTGAATAGAATTCAACTCATCGCATATATTCATAACATTTCTTCGAGTATTTTTAATTATATCTAGGTTGCCTATGTTCCAATGGATGAAACACGTGAGGGTTATTGTTTAATTCAAGAATTCTTACAATCATTTCTCAATATGACAAAACCAATGGTACAAAAAGCAATCACTGAACAACTAAGCAATTGGCTAAGATCACTTAAAGAAAAGAAGGATGCAGAATATACACCATCTATAAGTTTATTACAATATCTGGATATTTTTCTTAACATGAGAAAACAACCCAATGAATAAATATGTACTTAGATTATTATTATTATTATTATTATTGTTATTATGCTTATTGATTTTCTTTTTCTTTTCACTCGTTTTTTGTTGTTGTGCATGTATGTGTATATGAGAAGAACAGAAAACAAAAAAATAACAAGGCAAAAGCAACAACTTTAAATCATTGTTAGCATAAAATATACGGTATTGCGCCTGTGCTGTTAAGAAATTTTGTTTACCGGAAGAATCGGTTTGAATTAAAAAGATAAATTAGTGAAGAGTAAAAGACGAATTTCGCACCCATACAAAAGGTAAAATTAGAAAAAAAAAGGAAAAACGATGCGAAAAGGCACCAGTCGAGGACATTAAATAGAGAGAGGGTTCAGATAACAAATCACACAAAATAATTAAACTGACTAACAGGAAAGAAAAGACTTAGGCGCACGAGTACACGCACAAATGAAACTGAAACAAAAAAATACATGAAAAACATTAATTGACGTTAAATATTACACCCATGATTACCGTATGATAATCAATGAAGCAAAATAAAAGATGTACTCATGCAAAAACACAAAATAAAATTTTTATAAAACAACAACAAAAAGCAGACGAGATGATATTTAATTATTTATGGAGATCAATAGCCAAAAGACAAAAGCAACTTATTTTGTTTTCATACGATGTCAATAATAATTGGAATGAATAGAAGTACAAATAAACAAAAAACGAAAATAGATAACAAGAGGGACATAATATCATCACCATCATCATCATCATCGCATATCTGAATGAAACCTTTTGACATTGAAATTATTGCTATTTGATTTGTTCACAACTCCCTAAATCGTCGAGATTTGTGTCGTGTCGAGTAACGTAATGATATTTCAGTGCCGACTTCATCAATAGCCATTAGAGCCTATTATTATATATTGTATATATTTAGTTCTTGATAGACAAATTCTTTCACTTACAGTGTCAAGCATTTGACGTGTATGCGCAGCTGATATACAAAAACGAACACGAGCTTCCAATAATTTTGTTGCTGGAAATCCAACAGTAACAACAGCTATACCACGTCGAAGCATCTCTCGATTAAATCTTGTTACTCTTGCAGGCAGATAAAGTAACACTGGAGCAACTGGCGAATTTTTATTCCCATAAACAATAAAACCCATATCTACTAATTTGCTTCGAAAATAACGTGTATTATCAGCTAATTGATAAATACGTTTTTTGCCTTCAAAAAGAAATGTACTCATAGAAAATGTAATCTTTATTAGCTTCTTTTCACCTTCTGGACCTTTGAGAATGCGAAGAGAAGATATTATTTGTTCAACTACTGGCGCTGCCATACTTGAAGCATAAGTGTGAGCATGAGAATTAGTAAGAATATGATCGATGAGAGACTAGAAAAGAAAAAAATTAATATTATATTTTCTACGTAAATAATTTCAACAAAAATGAATGTAATCTGTTGTTGTTGTTTTTTTTTATTTACAGAGGATTAGATTATTTTCTGGGAAGCATTAAGTTAATAAATTTTGTAACTTTTTTTCTTTCGAATGTATTAGAATTAATTATTAGTCAATGATGATCTCACCTAGGACGAATAAATAATATTGAGGAATTATATTAGTTTAAATCAAATTAATTAATCTATACAAGAGATTGTTTTTCTACCTTGCTGCCTGCAATATAACCTCCAGCTGAACCAAAACTTTTTGTAAAGGTTCCCATTAAAATATCAACATCCTTGACATCCACACCAAAATAATCTACGATACCACGGCCATTTTTACCGATAGCACCTATTGAATGTGCTTCATCCATGTATAAATACGCTTTATATTTCTTTTTTAATTCAATTATTTCTGGTAAACGGCAGATTGAACCTTCCATACTATAAATAAAATAACAAAACAACTCTAACATTTATTTGTTAGAAAGACGAAAAACATATTATTATTTACATTTCAATGATGTCAAAGCAAGTTTTTGGCGCTATGCTGATTATTACATACTGTTTAAAAAATAACAGACGTAAAAGAACTCGTTTGAAAATTATTATCAATTTATTTCCACTCACTGTTGATGATCTTTTTTAATGCGATGCGAAGCAGAAGCATTTATGTATTCCGTCGCGAGTTTTTTTTATTTTTTTATTTTTACTCACTTGACGTACGCATCACAAGTCGTCATTTTGTGTCGCGATGATCTCGAGAACCGAAAATCGTAGGAAACTCCTTGAAACGTGAGATCGAAGAATCAAGATCGAACCTCTTACATCTCTTTTCGAATCTTTAAACTGAAGGTTCGTTCACTCACAAATGTGGTTCCAAAATGACAAAAATGAAAGAAATTTGTTGCAAGATAATTAAAGTGACGTCATCAACATATGTTAGCAACTATAGCCTATTCATTTACAGCTGATCTAAGATAATGAATCATGGAGATAATTAATCGATCAATCGAAATCGATCCTTAAGAATGTATCGCTACGTAAGAATAGAGTTTTCTCAGTGATGAATTTCATCATGTCGACATAAAAAAGTATTCAAGATTTCTCTGAATTGAAGATTTTTCGTGAATACCTGATTCAAGCTTTGCATCGCATTTCGTATTCGAGTAAAACTTGAATACCATCTAGTTTCAACAATGATTCATCACTCAATCGATTTTTTTTACCTTACTTCCGAATTTGCGTGCATCTTTCAGTAATTCTTTTTCACATTCATTTGCGAACCTGGATCTATTATGCAACATAAACATATGTTTTTTAAACAAAAACAATACGGAATCATGAAAATACAATAATCTTTGTGAAAGCTCCTTCAATAATTACAATAGCTGTGAAAAACAAGAAAATCTTTGCGTGTGGGTTATCTCTAGATTGATACCCACACGCTCCTCTTTATGCACTATCTTGATGGAATACGTATCACCCAAGACAATAGAGGTAAATGTCGCTTCAAAATAATTATAACGTGAACCTTTCTTTTATCATTCTTGCTTATCTACTCTAGGTAATCAATCGAATACAATGACTTGTTATATCCTAAAGCTCAACTAAAAGGTCAATTGTAAAGTCATTGCACATTATCTTCATTTGATATGATATTAATTCGAATCAAAAACATGAATAGTTTGTGCAGAGACATCAATTATCTTGTAGGTACGCTTTTTTTCAGAATACAATAGCAGATTTCATTTTAAATTGAACTATAAGAACTCACTCTTCGTGACATAAATAATTATTCATATTGGGAGTGATGAAACAAGTTCAGTGAGCCGTTTCATTTTTTTTTCGTGCTTTTTTTCTTCTCTGAGGATTATTTTCTTGGAGATTCAAAAAAATTGTGAAGAAAGCCTATGGGGTAATATCGAATTTCTAATTATTGAAGGATCAACTCTTATTTTATAATTTTCGTGAACACGGATAGTAAAAGCTACTCAGTAAATGTAGATATCGGTACTGTCGCTATTCTATTTCTTTTCAATGCAAACGATGTTTTCAAAAGTAATCTACTGTTTCATATTTGTTCTATGCAAGTAATTGTTAAGTTTATTCTTTTCCTATTCATCTAATATTGAAAAATCTTTCTTTTAAAGTATTACAGATTTGATCTTTGTTTTTTTTTGTTTCTACTCCTCTTCTTGTAATTTAGCGTGTCGATAGTTCAAGTAAAATCTCAAGCATGCAATGGAATGTCTCAATATGATCGATGTTCACGAGAATTCTGCATGCGCTTGTTTCCATGCCGCAAGTACTCCTGATACTGGTATTTGTACGGATCAATTCGCGGCAACCTGCTCTGAACTAGTTCCATGTGAAAAATCAACTAACATCTGCAATAGATCTGATCATCAATGTGTTCGTCGTCCTCAATGTCAGGATTCTCCTGTTTGCTATCCAATTCCAACCTTCAATGAACAATTTTGCCCGCCAACACTCAGTAAGAGAATAAATGCTGAGCTGTAGACTGAGGTCTAGTTCGCATCTTGAATTTATATTATTTCTCTTGATATTCACTCACATTTGCAATCCATGTTAATGTAGTGGCAGCGATAACGGGCTAATTAGCTTTTCTAAAAATTAGATACGAAATATAGACCTAGAGAAAATGAACAATATGGATCCATAAACTGCGTTGTATAATCGATTGATTATCGTGAATACCAAGTTTGAATCTACTATTTGTTTCTAGTCCCTCGTTCTTTGTGGTTCATTGCAAAGCTACGCTTTCATAAGTTTCTGAAGCTCAGAGCTCACAGAATCTGACTACTGTTGTAAAATTTGCATTTCATCAAATTCTGTTTGCTATCCTATATCAGACTTGAACATATTCTATGATATTGACTAGAAATATAAACTCTAAATTTTAGCTACAACTACAACTCTATTCAGCAATCAGGTAAGCTATTAATTGATATTTTTCGAGTGGTCTTGCTAAATTTTTCTTTATAATCAGGTATAAATAATAATTAATTAGAAATAATTTGATTTCCAGTCGACAAAAAAATGAAGTATAGTACTAATTGCCTTCTTGACTATTTTTCATCATTACTGAAGATTAGTTCGATTTTTTAGTATCACTGGCCATTCACCTATGACACTGATAAAAATAAAAGCCATTGAATGGTTTCAACATTGCTTACTAACGATTACTCATAAAATCTCCCTACGTATTAAATAAGTTCATGCATTCAAAATGACATGAGTCAAAGTACACCATACAGAGTGCAAAGATGATAGCTAAATGTTGAAAGTAACTTCAAAGAGTTACAGTTGTTTAACTGTATGTTTCCAACACTATCATTGACAATTTAAGTTGATTAGAGAAGATTTAACCGATAGAAATTATATTGATGCTATGTATGTACATCCATCAAATAGGACGAAAACTTAATACTTGAAAAAGAATACGTTTAACAGAATTATTGATTCCAATGAAATTGTTTCTAATGGAAAGTGTACAGAAAAATATTTTGCAGTTAGAAAGTCACCTTCTATTTCTTTTTTTGTTCCATTAGAAAGTGACATATAGTACTTTATTCTCAGAATCGAGAAGTCACCGAGGTGTTTCAGTTGGTACCATGTGTTGCGTTATTCTGGCTACAATATTTGTATTTCTACCTGTTTCACTGCAGAATTCTTTTAGTTTACTCAGTTGCTTACTTCGTAGGATATAAATTGATGCTTAATCATCTAGAGCATTTAGAATCACAGTATTTCCTTGAAATCCTTTAATTATATACATTCTAATTGCTCCGATCATTTCTTAAATTTGAATTTTTCTTGGTTGTTTAGATGACTTTGCGTTTCTCGAAATTTAAAAACATTTTTCAATTCTTTTTAGAGATGACGTCATTTTACTAGATTTATAGACAAGATCTGTGCAAGATTCTCTAGAGAGGACAAAATATATGCATCTACTAGTAACATAGTACAAGAAGTATATCACTATTTCCATTGTATCAATTGTTTTAGTGTGCATATTCATCATGAAATGATGAGAAATGTATTCACAATATTCATTGACAAATGTAAGATGTCGTTTCTGAAGAAGACACTGAAATCCATAGCGAGGGTGTGGGTTGTGTATGTTGATTTAAGTTGTCTATTCATCCACACTCTGCTGTCCAACAATTTAAACGGTATGCATTCTGCTTAACATAAAAGATACTAACAAATACGTATTTTGCTAATATTTTAATCAAAGTTTCTATTTTATTACCAAATACAGAGAAACAAGAAAACAAAACAACGAGACACTCATTATATAATGATTCATTGATTTGCATTTATTCAAATTGAACAATATAATGACATGTGTTGAGTACAGGGTTGCCAGCTGTTCAGGTCCCAAATGGGGTACACTGATTTCGGAATGGGGTACACGTTAGGTACAGCTCAGTTGTAAATGGGGTACATTCATGAGGTACGCAGTTTACATCTTTCACACTGGTCATCGGTTGCGGAAATCAATTTCAAAAACTATTTTCAATCAGGAAGGGGCATTCTCGGTTTTTCGTTTTACTATAAAGTCTAGCTGTCAAATTGAAATCTTTATTTTCTAATAAATAT